TCTGATGACTCATGCTTCGTACAGCCAATGAAATTACAGAACAATGATGCGCAGCTTCAGGGGGAAGTTGCTGCGTATCAGCGCGAGTCTGCAGCCAGTTCCTCGTGCGTCCAAGACGACAAGTGTGCGTTGTGACACTTTTTGAGACTTTAGGAAACAATAATGGCAAAACGCTCGGCGATAACAACATATCCGGACGCAAGAAGCAATGGAATTGGGTCTTCGGCGGAATAGTGACATGTCTGGAGATGAAGAATCAGATGAAATGTCGTTTGACTCAGAGGCAATGCTGCTGGATGGAGAACACGGTACTCTCCACAAGTAAGTATTTTATTATATTATATAATTTATAAATTACTGTATTTCGACATAAATAAGCGTTAGTTTGAATGATGAAGACACATTTTCTAGAACGTCTGCTGACCTGTTGGGGAGGAGGAGGAGGAGGAGGAGGAGGAGGAGGAGGAGGAGGAGGAGGTGTGTGTGTTTTTCATTACCCCTTTGTTTCACTGGGTGTGTGTCTTTAGGTGTTACTTCTGATCTGGGGGGAGGTGTGTGTGTGTGTGTGTGTGTGTGTGTGTGTGTGTGTGTGTGTGTGTGTGTGTGCGTGTGCGTGTGCGCGCGCCTCCCCCCTCTGTGTTTCATTGTGTGAACATGTGAGGCAGCGAGCTGTAAAAAAGTAGAATGCAGAAAAGATGGAAACGTTTTGTAAATGACTAACTGTTATTTCTTTATTTTCACATACTAGGAAGTCATCTGATGTAGATTCAGATCAGGATTGGGAGCCGGATACTTTGTGCCCAGTCAGCAAGCGGCCACATGGAGTGGAGCAGCAGGACAGTACCTCATCAGGAGAGGAGCCCCATCCCTCGACTCCCCAGAGAGGTTCTGCCAGCAGCAGAAGACCAAGAGGCAGCGCACGGGGGAGGAGAGGCACCGGCAGTAGCAGCAGTCAAGCCGGGCTGTCAACCAACACATCTGAAGAGAGATGGAATGATGTTGACATTGCTGTACAGTTGACATAAACTGTACAGCTTGCTGTTCCCGAGACAGGTAATGACTGGTGAGAAGTTCCTCAGGGTCTGCCAGGCCCTTTCCCTCAGTAGCTCGGTGGTGGATGCTGCTAACGAGCAAAGGAGAGGCACAGCAGCCTTCGATCGGCTCTGCAAAATAAAGCCACTCTACGAGGAGATTCGGGAAGCCTGCAAAAGGAACTATCACCCGAGCCAGGAAATTTCCATCGATGAGCGAATGGTTTCCTCCAAAGCCCGCATTGGGCTCAAACAGTACATGAAAAATAAGCCTGTTCGCTGGGGATATAAACTCTTCGTTCTGGCGGACTCCAGCAGCGGTTATACGTGGGACTTTTTTGTCTACGAGGGAAGGTTCCAGGGAATCAGTGGCAACGGGCTCAGTTATGATTCGGTGATGGAGCTCATCGACACCAAGTTGCTGGGCACTGGCTACAAGCTCTTTGTTGACAATTTCTACACTAGTCTCCCCCTTTTCCGCGACCTCCTTCAGAAGAGGATCTGGGCGTGCGGAACCATCCGCACAAGCAGAATTGGATTCCCAAAAACTAAAGTAAATGGTCTGGTCTCAAAACCTCCCCGTGGCAGCATTCGCTGGATCAGGAAGGACTCCCTCCTCTTTGTCCAGTGGCGAGACACGAGGGACGTCTCCATGTGTTCAACACTCCACAAGGCCCATGCGGAGGACACGGCGCAAAGGAGGGTCAAAGGTGCAGATGGGCACTGGGCATTGAAGGAGATCCCAGTTCCACCAACGGTGAAGGAGTACAACCAGTAAGTACTATATATTCAACTGTTTTATGCCCTTTGCAATGTAATAATTTGTGTGCTTGATATATTTGTTTTGGTATATTTTTCTCAATGTTGTGTATTTCTGTCCATCCAGGCTCATGGGTGGAGTGGACCTCTCTGACGCCCTGATCGGGTACTATAAAGTCCTCCACAAGACCCAGAGGTGGTATAAGATGTTGTTTTATCATTTCATGGACATCGCGATTGTGAACGCCTTCCTCCTCCACAAAGACATTGCAAAAGGTAAAGGACAGGTACCTATGCACCAGAAGACGTTCAGGGAGACCCTCGCCGAGGAGCTGGCAGAGGTGGGGTCACCCTCCACAGCCAGACCCGTACCACCTCCTGCTGCAAGAAGAGCACATCACAGGCCAGAATACGTCAGTGGGAACAGCGCCACTGGTCGTCTGAAGTGCAGGCACTGCCATGCAAAGACCCCACTGAAGTGCTCCTCCTGCGATGTGCCTTTGTGCTTGGACCCCGGTCGTGTCTGCTATAATGACTGGCATGTTGCCAATAACCTGTAGGTTACAGTTGTACATTTTGTAAATAGTTTGCCGTGTGTTCATTTTTTTTTTTTAAATAAACTGCTTTTCCACCATAGCACTTGTTTTGACTCTTTTATTTGCACAAAGTTTAGTTTCAATTAAGGAAAAATAGCACTATAATGTATTTATGCTTCAGTTACTCTGTGTCAGCAATAATGATAGTGAATCTGGATATGGGATAGGATACCTCTCAGTGTCTCCTTTCATTAGAGCCCAAAATGATGACTGTGCGTTCAAGAATAGTAGCCTAGGTATGTGACCATGGTTACCAAGTGTCCTTTGGAGTCTCCAAATGGCCTTTTTTGGAAAATGCCTAGACTTATAAAAACATGTGTAAAATATTCATTGTCTGTGGTATTATCAAATTTGAACCTGGACTAGGTAAGGCTTCATGCTGTGGTCCCATTGTGTTTTCCAGCTAATAAGTTGCAGCTATAGGCATCTGTTTGCAAAGAAATATTCAGGTGGAAATAAAAACCTATTTTAGTGTGCCCTAACTTCTATTGGTCAATACCAGTAGCACTTACAGTGATTCTGACTGTTGGGGGGGAACTTCAGAGTGTTACCTTTCAAAAGAGACCAAAACCATGCATGTTCTCCAAATGGTTCAAGAACAGCTTTCAATTTACTTTGGGTATGCCGTGGATAGATGTTTTAGGCGAATTTTACAGGAGTGGTAAGAGGTTAAAACTTGCATTCTCTCTACTGGCCACCAGTAGAGGGAAAATGACTCTACTTCTCTCTTGATTTATTACCTCAGTAAACATGAGTTTATGGTCTCAATCTCTAGTTTCAAGTCTTCTTCAATACAGCATGATGTTCATTTAGTTAATTATGATCCATTTCGAGTCAAACAGACCATAAAGCAGGGGATGCTTTAGGGCGGGGCTTACTGTGTCTCTACCAGAGACCTATACGGCTTCTCTATATCACTCAGTATTTCAAATATGGTCACTTGTGTTCACTGGTTGCCAAAAAGACAACATGATAAACAATGATTGGACGGACGTATTACAGTCCTGCGACAGCCACAGATACCTTTCTTTTTATTGTCAAAGCATTTGATTCATTCATTGCTGTCAGGACATTGAAACTAAAATAGATCTTAAATTTTTTTTTTTTTTATATATAGGCTGTGTGGTCAGTTCAACTGCAACAAAAGGACCAAATCTCTGTATCCACCTACAATACCTAGACCTTCACTTCCCCACATTAAGTAGGGCACCGGGGGCAGCACTACCTCTCAGAGACGGTGCCAAAAACGGAGCTGCAGTGATCAGGATGATCCTACAGGGGGCAGTGCGTAGCCTCTCTCTGTCTCCCTCCTCAGGCTTTAATCATTCGTCAGGCATAATAGGAGAGGCATTTATAGTCATATCCCTGTAATAAAAGAGGTGTCTCTTTGTCCTTTTCCATTCAACACATTGTCACAACCCAGAGCCTTAATCCTGCAAACTGACGGACAGTTGCATCCTGGGAAAAGAGCCGCATGCCATTGTTTGAGTGAGTCAAATCTGTTAAGCCCTAATTCTTTTGTGGGTATTTGCATACTGGGAAGTATTCTTTTACTGAAGGGCCAAATCCTCCTTGTGTGTGATGCGCGGCATTTTTAGTATCATTTGTGAAGTATCTACATGCACTATTAGCGCTGCATAATACCCTCATATAATACGCCGGCATAATCTTGCAGATAAGAAGGTTTTCTTTTTCTAAAGTGTAGCCTTACGTCGGGATGAAACGCTGCAATTTCAGGCAGATTCAAACGGGCTCAAATGTCATCAGAAATGTCAAGTGGCTCTGCAGTGGCAGGATACCAGAACGCCTTCTTTATCGTTTTCATCACCCGCCGGATTCCTCAATTTTACCTCCCAGTTGAAAGGCCCGGCTCGGCTCAGACCGCGGCGATGTAATGGGTCTGGTGCTGTAATAAAGACGGCTACCTCTGACTCACCTGGCCTCTTTCTTCCTGCCTCCTTTTTTTTCGTCTTGCACTTTTCCCTTTCCTCCCCCCCTCTTCACCGCCGTCTCTCTCCCACTCTCTTCTCCTTCCCCACTTCCAACAGAGTTTCTCTGGCTCGCTGATAAACTGGTTGTTATCTGTCCGTGGCGTTTCGGCACAGTGTGGTTCAAACATTCACTTCCTCTGCAGGCCTTTTCTCTGCCGCTCTCTGGAGTCCCTTCTGCAAAAGCTCTGATAAGATTGTTGTGTTGAGATTGGAGATGGAGGATCGAGGAGTGGCTAGCGTATTCTGCCAAAGCAAGACTGTGACAAACCTTTAGCGCTCTAAGATGTCTACCGAACATACTGCATAACATTGACTTTTATTATCTGTTGAACATAAAGCGAATATATCTCCATGAAGGTTAAAGTTTGATCAACAGAATCAGGTTTATTACCAAGTAGACTTTCTCAAGTAATTTCTCTTGGTATTTTTCTTCATGGCGATCACAAGAATTAGATTTTCTGACAGAATAAAGACGCTTTTTTGTCTTAATTTGTTGTATTTTCGTGTTTATTGCTGGAGCACTAATGGCATGAGACAGAATACATTCATCAACAACAGAAGAAGAAGCGCAGGGATTGGATTAAGTGCAGGGGTCTTTGAGACAATCACCGATAACGGCCGACCACCTAGCCAGACCTGCCGGACCAAACTGCCCCGGGGAGGAGAGCCGAGATGGAAGCTAAGCTAACCCAGCTAGGACCCGAGGCTACTCCACTACCCAGCATGCTGCTGACAGTCTGATGTCATGTTTTATTTGTGTTGCACATGGCCTACAACTGCATCTCGATGCTTATCCCTGTGTTGCATAATGACAATGAATGATCCTTGAGTTCTTGAATCCTTGAATTGTACTGATCGAGCTGAATTCCATCCGGTCAACAAACACGAGCCGTCAGACAATGAGAGTAGTCATCAAACCCCCTGGTTAGCTGAATGTTTGTGGAAGAGAAAGCAGTGAAATGATCCCCCAAGCTGTCTGTTGTAAAGATTGCTCACAGTACAACAATATGACCTAAGCTGTACTAAACCAGCGTTATCCTTTAGGATATAAAGGCAGGGTGTGAGAGAGCCTTTATCTGTGTTTCATGTAAAGCTCATGTATAGTATGTATGCAGCCGTGGCTCTCCATTCAGACTCTTTGTTGTTTGGATGTTTCATCGTGTTGCACCATCACTTTTCTCTCCCGTTCTTTCCAATGTCACAAAGTTAGAGAGAGAGAGAGAGAGAGAGAGAGAGAGAGAGAGAGAGAGAGAGCCATCTGCTCTCTGGCTGCTGTTTGTCTGTTTGTTTTGTTCTTCCCTCCTGTGTATTTAAGCGTCAATTTCTGCCGGCGAGGGACACATGAAAAGAGCCATGGCACGAACAGAAAACAAGCCCTCAGAGACAAGGAGGAGGAGGAGGAGGATGAAATGACAACACGAGGAAGGAAACAAGGCCCGGGAATAAGCTGCGATTAAACCGAAAAACAATCAAACTGCAGAGATGAGAAGACGAGGAAGAGAGAGAGGAGAAGAAGAAAAAAACCACAGACACACACACAACAATGAAAGCAAATAAAACAGGCAAACAGGGAATGCAGTGTGTTTGAGAAAAGACGCTGGCGAGGGCAAGTTACACCGAGTGCCAGCTCTGGATGCCTGGCATCAAGAGTTCGGGAGGAATTAAACGACACTGTTGGATATCAGTGTATGAGACAAAAACTGGGATCAGGGGAAGCAGCAGTGATGCCGTATACGTCTGGTAGCGGCAGCGACCTGTCAATCACAGTAGGCCCCGCCCTAAATCATACTCTGCTTTATGGTCTATTTGACTCTATATGGACCATAATTTACTAAATGAACATCATGCTGTATTGAAGAAGACTTGAAGCTAGAGATTGAGACCATGAACTCATGTTGACAATGTTTACTGAGGTAATAAATCAAGAGAGAAGTAGAGTCATTTTCTCATAGACTTCTATACAACCAGAGGAGTCGCCCCCTGGTGGACACTAGAGAGAATGCAGGTTATAAGACACTGCCGCTTTGGCTTCACTCGGCAGAACCAGAGGTTGCCGCTGTCCCCGACACGTCCAAAACTGAAGGGGTAGCTAGAGCGTCATAGTTTGACCAGTGGAATGTTTTGGAGTTAGGAGTTAGGAGTTGTGTTTGCGTCCATCTCCAATATTCACTCTCTTTTAGCTCTGTTTTTGGTCTCCACCAGCTCCTGAGGTAAGTATCTGTCTCTTCAGCCGCTGAATGATCCACTGTGTTCTCCAGTCAGCTTAGTCTCACTTCCGGGGAGTCAAATTCCGGTGCTTGGGAAGTAGCCCTCGTCGTCTGACTATCTACACAAAAGGCCCACTTTAGTGTCTGAATGACACGTACCCGGCTTTCAACTAACTCTCAATGTAAACTGGTGGGGGGGGGGGGTCACACAAACACAGGACTTTCACCCAGGGGACCGGCGTTAGTGTGCCTCGAGGGGCCAAAAAAACTTTGAATGATTAGTTTGTCTTTGTATTAAGTCCTTAGAGATCCTTTCTTGGTGGATATATTTTACTGGACATATGGGCATGTGAAAGTGGTCTTAAAATAGACTTGATATGAACCTGTCCTTTTATATTAGTGCCATGAGTTACTTGGGATGTTGTCTGGACCAAAGATCCTATGTCACCTCAGCATTTCCACTGAAAGCAGATTGGCACATGCACTTCAATGACGCTGCTAAACGTCGGATTATGTTCAATGACGAGGTTTGATTTAAAACGTTTTTGCAGAATGTAATAGTATTCTACTTTTTATTTAATATTTAATGCACAGGGGGAAAACTGTGGGCTTGAAGACACCGGACGGCGTGTCCGTTTCCACTTGTTTCATGTAAAGTGTCTTTTCAAAATAAACTTCTGTGTTTGTGAGAATGCACAGTTTCCACTAGTTACATGCATCTTTTCAAAATAAACTTTCAACGTAGGTTTACTTTGTTTATAGGTTT